CTGAGATTGAAATTAGCAGATTCTAGACATTCTGTTCTCAGTTGTTCAATGAAGGCGTGTTGAGATTCTGGAAAGTCATTTATGTTGAATGGATTTAGAGGTTCACTAGAGTCATGAGGCACTAGGTCCCATCCTTGTTGCAGCCTTTTGAATAATTGTATTTCTGGTGACTTGGAGGTTTCAATTTTCAGATCTTCAAGCACATGCACCAGAATCAACTCACCGACGTGATGGCGGCAACTTGACCACAATAGCGCTCTGTCTTAACGATGTTGAATTGTTACACAAGCCGCTGTCACATGGCCTGTGTTGCTAGCTGTAGTATCGTATACAAGATTACAAACATTGTGTCGACATTCCCACTGTTCTAGCAAATCTACTGATAGTTGAGCGATTATTTTACCTGACGACTGATCAGTCCCAGGTTTGTAAGAAGGTACGCCAAGTAACTTTAATTCATTTTGAGTTCCAACAGCAATTGTCAAACGTTCTTCTTTATCGTATTTATTAGTTAGTGAGTCCATCAATTTTGAATCCCAGTGTAATGACAATAACTTAGGTGGTACCCATTCTTCCTTGTACTCTTCAGTCAGATCACTTTTTACCTATCTTCTTGATTTGTGCGCTTGAGAATGTGACGTCCATACGTTACTCGTATCTCCACCTGCCTCATCTACAACAGCCTTTGTGAAGGTTGCTTGTACTGTGGGTGAGAAGTTTAATCCTGTTGACAGAGCAACTAGTTTTGGTGAACTCAAAATATCCGCAGGTATAAATGCTTGTGTACCCTCATATACGCGACGATGCTTTCGCTTCTTGTGAAAGCTCTTTTCCACTTCACTTCATGGCATTGGTTCCTCTATATCACTATCCGAATCCAAAGCTGCAGATGATGATGATGCCCATGTTTCTTTCATTTCTCTCTGAGCTAATGCCTTTCTTTTTACAGCACAAAATTCTTGTTGATTATTCCGTTTTACCGTAGCTGCTTTTACTTGATCAAATGGGCCAAAAGTTGCTACACGGTCAGTCCTCATAGATATCAGAAACGTTTTATCTTCTTCATTCTTGACCAGAGTCTCGGCATTAGAAGGCCACAGTTGTTATGTTTGAGATAATTCATGATTGTGAGTAGCCAACTTTTCAATAACACTGTGAGAATGCCGACGTGATGCAGGTATTTGTCGAATTTTGGAATTTTTGTCGAGTAAATTCATAATTTTTTCTATAACCCTTTAATCTGAAATCATGGGTATATTCCCTTTTGCATAAAACAAAGATACTTGCTTTAGAACGATTTTGGCGGCTTGCCATTTAGTGCGATTTCAGACAGTCCTTCTTTAATGAAATACATCAGGCATCTCAAAATTTCACGCCCAGTAGGCAATTTCAGCCCTGTTATAAGGGAGTCCTTAACACCAATCATACTTCCCAAACCGAATATCTCATTGCACGACCTTGTCGCTGCTTTTTTATCCACCTTTTATCCATATTTGACAGATTTCTAATAAAACATAAAATCTTTAAAAGAGAAAGTGAAAGCAATTATGATCCCATAATGTTGGTTCAATAAGCTATCTGGCACATTTAATAGAAACAGGTAAATGGTGGCACAACCATTCAATTATTTTTAGGAACTAAGAAAAAAACTTCTCTTATTTTACTAAATGGCAACCCTATAACTTTAGTAGCTGTGTGGACCACCTAAACAAATTTTAATTTCCATTAAATTTTGCATGGCAGAAAATTTCATTTCTTTTCATTGCAATGATCTGGTCCAAGACCCAACCCACCGAATCTCACAGCTATCACGTCTCGAATACATGTGGTTTACTTTGTCCAAACTCCAATAAACACAGCATATTAAATTTGACAATACGGGCCTTAATATGGCGCATTCTTGGTGTTCATGTCTCAATATTACTGTAGGATGTGTACTAACCCTTGCTTTCAACGGCCACATTTTATAACACATGTCATACTTGGTATTCACAGTGGTTTCATTCCGTTCTACTCCACTAACCCTTGGGTAATCTATGGGATAGACACGTTGTCGTGTATTTTGTACACGGGGAACATATGCTGATTACACTATTTTGCCTGATTAGACTATTTTGTCGAATGGTTTGGATTATTCGTACTTGGTTTTATTTTATTTCAAGTTATCCGCCCTTGATGATAGTGCTATTTTTATCGACAAATCACATAACTCGTTAATTGCAACGGAAGTTGGCAAAGGGAAGTAACTCTCATCGTACAAGTTTAGGAGTTAGCCTAAATGGGAGAGGTCCAAATTATTCTAAATGCGTATTCATTAACAACAAATTATATATATACTGAGCGCCATGGAAAACGCATCACTTATTTCTTCGTATAACAAAATGATCCTGTAAACATATCTTATTTATTTTGCTTCTTAGTGTGAACAATATTCAAATGGGAACACATCAATAACAACACATTTGTACACTTATGGATGTTTAATCTGGAATCAAGGGTACAAGGTCAGAGGGGTCAAAACCAAAAGTAGGACACAGATGTCAGTAACTCGTGTGTCCTCCACGGGCCATCATCACAGTAGGCTACAGCATTAACGCGACCCCTGCAAATGTGTAGGGCGGTCAGGTGATGAAATGTGAAGCCTCCCCACACCATCGATTCGTTTCGATGACGCAGCAGTCTGCAAGACGTTCCCCAAGACGTCTCCACACACGTTGACGGCCATCAGCGTGATAAAGATGAAAGCGAATCTCCATGTCTGGTGTCCTTGAGCCCATATCAAACGCCGCTCACGGTGATGATCCCTGAGGATAGCTCCAACACAAGGTCGTCGTACACGGAGTCCTACTTCTCCTAGACGACGTCTTACGGTGTTGGCACTTACTGGTCCTTGTCTTCCGACGACTGCTGCACCTGTTCGAGTCGCTGGGCGAAATCTGTCACGCAGATGAGTGACCCGGATGTAGCGGTCTTGAGTCTGGGTTGTAACGCATTGTGGACCAGGAGTTGACGGTCACGTGTTGATCCAGTAACTCGAACACGTTCCACCAACCTTACAATAGTGGACTGACGACAATTGAAGTGTCTGGCAATAGCACGTGTAGACATGCCAGCCCATTGCTTCATTCCGTTGATTTTCAGTAAGTCTCGGCATCTCTAGCTCGATTCCTTCACACGTCCGACAAGAAATAACGACAGATTGGCGTTTCGCAGTTCATGCACTGCACATTAAGTTGAAAACATGCTTTTAAAGGGCTCACACACAATGCTGCACGTGAATATTGGGTTTTTCATGTGCATCTCGTGCAATTTTTTTTTTGTGCACATGGGCCGATATTTTTTTGCGTTTGGGAGCATTGTGTGAAACAATAGTTCATAGTATTGCATAATATTATACATACAAAACCACCTAGTAATACAATATTTGGAAAAAAAAAGTGATGCGTTTTCCATGGCGTTCACGTGATATCGTAGACATGTTTTTGTGAATCAAATTGTCAAGTATAAGTTCAATAATAATAAACATAACAGAATGAAACATTTCAGACAAAGAACGAATAGTAATAATAATAACAAAAGTCAAACGTATAGATGTTATATATATTTGAAATCAGCGAAACATACTACATATTTTGATAATACAATTAAATGTAAATGAATTAGAAATATATACATTATTTACATAAGTCATTCAGTAAATGTACATGAATATGGTTATCGACCCTTATAAACACGAAGGCAAAACGACAGATTTGTAAACTTGTTTTTTGATTGGTTCGTAGACTATAGCTACAATCAACGCTAGGGCAGATAATTAGAAATCGTGGAACCCCTATGGATTAACCCAGGGTATAGTCGAGTAGAAGAGAATGAGTACACTGGGATAACGAGGATGAACACATGTCTGCAATATCAAATCATGATTAAAACGTCACTTGTTTGTGATCCCGATTATATGTTGTTTCCATTGGATGACCGAGGGTACTATTTCATATTACAAGTACCTTGTCATGTCAATAGAGAGAAAATAAAGACGCACATATTATCTTGGCATGCTCTAAATCTATTAAAAATGACGTGAAAGTAAGGCATGACAAATAATTGCATTGTGAGCTTATTAATAGAAGGTTTAAACATAATAACGAAGATGTTGGTCTTTGGAATATTGTATTTGGGTGTTCAATAGTCTGTATTATAAACGGGTCCTTTGTAGACTAAAGGTATACTTATAGTTTGTATAAAAATAGAATAACATACAAGTCGGCAAACTTTCACCAAACAAGCTGGATTATCATTCTCGTCAACTAATCACCTACCCTTGTAAATAGATCGATCCTAGTTACCTAACATAACTAAGATGTAAAGAGCGGGTTGACGACAATGATATATTAGAAAAAGAAACGAAAGAAAATTCACGTCCTTGTTTGAGCTTTTATTAGCATAAAATAAATAATCATAACAAATAAATAAAATAAAAGGTAGTTTAACGTCCTAATGTTCAGCTCCGAACTGGGCTAATGAAGACGGGCATACACCATAACAGTGTGCTATAAGGTAAATTTTTCCCGGTCAGCGGCACTACTGCCTACTCTGATATCGAATTACAACTGCCAATGGATCTATTACGTGCACGTCAATGTGTACACGAGGCCTCGGTTTTTCGTCCCATCCGAACGACTAGACATCTGTCCTTGTCAGGCCCTCCGTCCTGCATCTCTGACGGAGGGAACCACGCCGGAATATCTGCATGAACTTTCTCGGCCAATGCAGGGATCGAACACCCGATCTCCAGGCTAGCGAGCCAGCGTCTTACCCCTCAAGCATAATAAACTCTTCTGACAAGTTCGTGTCTCTGAAATCACCCTCGGTAGAAATGGACGTTACTTCATTAAATTTGTAAAAACTACTTGAGTCAATGGGGTGATTGGTCCTCGCGTTTAAAATATACGTATATTTTCGTTCTGGATCCATTCTTTACCAATGACAAATATTGTTTTGAAGGCTGGTGAAGACTTAGACATAGAAGATTGTGTAATAATAAAGCATGGCGATATATAATTTCATGTCTTTTATGGTGATTATGTTTATGGTTCACTCGTATGGTAAGTTGATTTATTAAAACCTGTATTTGCGCCTCACCCACCCAAGTCCTTTATTATGGTATTTTGTCCGGTTTTTTTCTTTCTAGTTCGACTCTGTCGATTAAATTGAGCTGAGCTTGGCGAGACTTCTATAACTATAAAAGGTTCTAACAGTGTTGACACGTTGGATTCACGTTGACTCAGTATTTCCCAGATCCCGTTGAAAGTAGTACAAGTTACGTATACGAATAAATACAAACTTACATGGCTCTCTTCATTGAAACGTGTAGGTCCATTCGAATTAAGCCTGTATATATAAGTTGATAAATAGAGAATTTCCTACGAGTCTTTTTTGATATAAAAAATATCAACACAAGTTGATAAAGTAACAAAAGAAACGAGGCTCTGTCGAGGTTTTTTTTTTACTTTATCAACGAGTCTTGATATTTTTTGATATCAAAAAAGAAGAGTAGGAGATTTTATTTATCACGCAATCCTTTCTTACGTGCACAAATAAATAAATATAATTCTTTGCTATAGACTTCACTTTTACTGAACCTGATTACATTATGGCGTAGGGATACATCATGTTTGTCCTTTATATTGACTCAGTGTTTCAATCAAAGTCAATATGAAAATAATTCATTTTTAATAAAAAAAAAAGAAGTTACTTTTAATACAAAATGAACTGTTCTTTGAAAATACAAAAATGTAGTTCCTTTTTAACTGACCAATCAATTTCATGTAAAGCGATATCACACAAGCGATATCTATTGTAATATTGGGTGATAATAACAGATATCAGAAACGAGGATCCTGTTTAGTTAGCCCTCTGCAATTGACACCACAGGAAGGATTCAACGTCGTCCAATGCTGTCAATGTAGGCTAAACGTCCGATACAAGACTTGAAATTTCTAATCATTTTCTAATCTGTCGGAAATATGTGCTCTATTTCTGACACCGACTGGCGTGCCCAGAAAAGCTTTTAGAGAACAGGCTGACGATAGATATTTCATACAATGGTTGGCATAAATTACCCTACAATCTGTTGTAAATATTTTATATTAAATGTAACGCCCATTTAACTACTGATGTATGTTGTTTTATTTCAGGAAATGGACAAATGATCAAACAGAAATTTCTGTGTAATTATTTTAACAGCGAATATTCTAACTGTACAGGATTAAGTCGTAGTGAGACCCTAAGTTGTGATCCATACTACGTTATCATGATAACTAATGTTTCACTTGGTTATTACAATGAAACAGAAGAACAGACTTGTTGTCAGAAGATACCAGATAATATCTGTACCGTAGAAGTAAATAAGGAGAATAATCTCGGATACTATTATTACTATGCATCATCATGTGCATTATCTCATACATGTGTTATAGATTTGAATTATTATTATGGTTTTCTCAGTAACGACAATAATTGTTCATTCACACAATTACTGACCTACACTGAATACATGTGTGTTAGTAGTAAGTATGCATTTATAACTAATCAAATCACTAATTGGTCTCACCCAATTTCGCCCGACCATGACAGGGTGTGTAGCTATATCCTTTGTAATCTTAAAATAGATGAAAATGGGTTTATAAGCGTATAGCAATGATCAACAATTCCATTTCATCTTGGTCTGTTGAAATGGATTGACTCATATTCTTAACTCTGTGCTAAGATTTAATTTTCTAACAATTGCTCTGACATAATTTAATATTCGACAAAACGAAATAAACAATATCTAAATAAATATCTTAACAAGCGATTTTATATTTCAGATACATCAATTTTAAATATGACCAAACCTGGGATGAACCACAACTTGAACAGTTTCTCTTTGGCTTATACCATAGATCGTTATCCTGAGATTGATAACCATTTCTACTGTAGTTGTGAGATCACAGTGGATGATGATGATGTGTATATTTATACCACGGTCTCGTTTCTTGGACTTAATGTTGTTTATAATACTAGTGTGACGATTTATAGTCCAAATCATACAGTTCGTTATGACGTGAACAACACGGACATGACCAATGTTGATAACTTTGGGTACAAACATCTGCTTTATAAACAATTAAAACAGACAAAGGGTCCAATTTATCTGGTGTATGAAGGTGATGAACTACAACCTTATATTGATAAGATATGGATTGATTTTAAAGGTTAGATATTATATTACTTGTCGGTAAAACTCAAAAAAACTTATAATGAAATAATATGTATAGAGTTTAAAGGTTAGAATTATATCTACATACTCAAAAGGCTGATAGCTAAAGATCGACTGCGCGCAAGCGAATTATTGAAATAAATTTGAATATTATTTTAGTCCCGAAATGACCTAGTTTGTTTCAAGTGGACGTTAAATCCCATCTCTCTCTCTCTCTTTCTCTCTCTCTCTCTTTCTCTCTCTCTCTCTCTCTCTCTCTCTCTCGTCTTGACATTTTCGGAAGTTCCTGCAGCCTGTGACGTTGCTTAGATGCATCTCTTATATCGAATTCCAACTGCCAACGTTTTTTAGTGAACATTAATATGTACACGGCACCTCGTCGCATCCGAACTTACTTTGTCAGACCCTCTGTCCTGCACCCCTGACAAGGGAGAACCACGCCGAAAAAACCCGATGAACTTTATCGGCCAACACCATGGTTCCATTGTATAGTAATAATAATAATAATAATAATCATTTTGTATAGCGCCGAGTGCTCCAGCTAACAGCTGCTCCGCGGCGCTTTTCACATTTAAAATATTACATATAATATAAAACAAATAGTTCTAAAACATTAAAATGTCAACATGTTCATAGTTTAAAAGCACGTTTAAAAAGTTCGGTTTTAAGATTTTTTTTAAAAACAGCAACGTTAGTAGAGTCTTTTACTTGTCTAGGTAATTCATTCCACACGTTAGCAGAGGTGTAAGCAAAAGCCCGTTCACCAGTTTTAGTTTTTACTGTAGGAACATGAAGTAAGTTTTTATCAGCAGAGCGTAGGTTCCTGATTGGTTTATACGGGGTTAAAAGTTCATTAAGATATTGTGGGGAACGAACTAGGATAAACCGAGTTTATTCACTAAAGAGATTTGAGAAGATAAACATCATTCTTTAGCTAAAATCGTTGTTTAATATATTCTACTGAAGACTTTAATCCGCTATTATATTTTAATGGATTTCAGAATATAAATCCACTATGTCATATTTACTTTATATAGCGTCTAAAGGTCGTCTCAACGTCAACTGTAAAGGCTGTCGGAGTGGTTATTCTATACCACCAGTATTTAACGTTCCACCAACAGTTCAAATGACAGATCTCAAAGGTAATTCAAACAGTTTGACGTTATTTCATTTGGAAATCAACTTAACGATTTCATATTATATTAATGCAATCCAGCAAATTGGAGATATAAGATTGCAAGAGCACATAATGTTCAAACCATTGATCTGAAAGGTAATTCACATATCCAACAGACAGTTTTACTTAAGGTATTTTAAGGAGAAAATAAATCGGTTTCGAATACTTATCTCGTTTTGTAAATGACGTATTCGAATTTTTTTCTCGTAAACCCGATGCGTTGACTCGCAACATGGCTGAAGACCAAATACGTGAGGAAAATTGTTTAAAAATAAAAAAAAATGGTTCTTTGTACTGTTCTTCAAGACACTTCGCAAAAATATAAACGAGAAGTTAGTTGTACCAGTTGACTATTTCGAAATGGTCTGTAGCCTGGTTAGAAATGTCCATATGTTTTTTTAACGTGCAATTAAAAAGAAAATGAAGTAACGTCAGACAGGACGTGACACTCGTGAGGAACGCCATCTTGGAAATCAAATTATCAATCTGACAGGTAAGTTTGAAGATTTGGTTTGGTAAAGGTCAGAGATAAATAGGCTCATGTTGGCCGTAAACGTGATGGAATGGCATTCGTCATAACCGGTATCGCGTAAAAACGCATAGTATATTTAAGACGACATATAATTCAGTCACTTAGGCCTTATTGTATTTGGAAATTTACCCTAAAGTCGACACAACAAGTTTAAACTACATGTATTATTATTATATAGGTACAATGGGTACTACATCACCTATCAATAAAACTGCTCTAATTAGTGTTCTGGTCATCATTGCTGTACTCGGGCTTGTGATGATGGGTGTTGTTTTTTATAAGAAACGGTGAGTTGTTATATTATGGCTTATGATGATGGTAAGCTGACTAAAAATGAAGTAGTATTTCTTCCTGCTAGATTTGTGTGGAAAATGGCCGTGCACCAACGTAAACATTGACTTTTCGACGGAAATTTCACCAGATTCGTTTTTTGCAGTCTATTTGGCCACTTTCAAAAAACAATCTTTATTGTCCCAACCCTATTTATAGTGGCAGTCATAAATATAACATCTATTGAGTCGAGGATTAATTATGTCCTTGTTACCGGGTCTCTCTAAACAGAAACTGGCGTTCTACCTGCTAGTTTAACAATATATTGATATAAGGTGAAGCATTGTTATCGCCTGAACTCAAGGTCCGGATTAAGCTGGCAGCAGCCTAGTAACCCCCACCCCACACTAATCCCCCCGCCCCTACATCTGCTAAAACGGCACGTGTAGACAGATTAAGTCGAGGTTCAGTGAGTAACATTAACCAGGTCGTCCCGCATTCGACATTCGATCCCGGTGTTGAGCAAGAAAGTTCCTCGGAATTTTCTTCTTGTCCGTGATGCAAGCAGGATGTAAAACAGAGGTACGGTGTTCAGGATGGCGTGCACGTTAAAAATAACCCTGACAGTTAGAATTCAAATGCAAACAGATCAAACTGTCCCTTGTAACACACTGTAGAGCGTATCCATGTCTTGATTAGCCCAGTTGAATATTTAATATTTGAACTGTCTTTTGAATAGAAAATGTATCAAAGACAAAATCGAAACAGCTAAATATATCCCAACAAAATCGGAGCCGGTGTCAGATGTACCGACAGCATCAAGAACGGTGTCAGAAATAGAAACAGTATCAGGAAACGTCTCAAATATACCAACAGTGTCAGGAACTGATTCTTTACCGCCAGTATCAGGAGATGGGTCTGAGATGTACGATACACTGGAAATGAATAACCAACTAGTTGATGTCTATTCAGAATATACCGACAGTCTTAAATTAACATTCTGATTGAAACTATGTCCATGTTTTTCTTGGTATTTTCTTTCTACTGTGTTGTTTTGTGCATGTATATAACATTGCCTCGTTATATTTTATATTTTTATCATTGCTTGATAAAAAATAGAGATGCCTTGTTGAAACCTCGCCCAGTAATAAGCAGTAATTGTATTCCTTAGAATTGTGACGTGTGTATGACACACGGACTTAGTCTGTAAATATTGGTACCATTGCAACATGTCTACGGACTTATTTCTATTGTAAATATTGACACCATGGTAACATGCCTACGGACTTATTTCTATTGTAAAAATTGAAACCATGACAACATGTCTACGGACTTTGTTGTAAATATTGATACTATGGCAACGTGTCCATGGCCTTATACCGTATTTTGACATGGAGGACAACTTGTATATATTTAATGGAGTGGACACCTTTTGATAGATCGGATACTATGTATAAATTTTATAGAGCATTATATATTTGATACAGCTGGCAACTTGTATATATTTGATACAGCTGGCAACTTGTATATATTTGAAACAGCGGGCATCTTGTGTATATTTGATGTAGATACTTGAATTAAACTTTCTATAATTGATAGAGTGGGCGCCTTGTGTATATTTGATACGAGTGAGCAGCTTGTGCATATTTGATGTAGATGCTTGAATTAACCTTTAACTAATTGTTTAATCAGTTTTATTCATTGTTCTTTTGTTGTTATATTTGTATCTTATTTGTTGCTAGATAAATGTAAACTATTCGCCGTTGCACGGGTGCCTTCTATAATTTTAATTTTAAGTTAAAAATTTGGCAGTATTTCCTTAAGGTCCTGAAAAGTAATGTATGCTCTCTTCGTAATACCCATAATAACACAATGACCTGTACATATCAATTGTATCAATAAATAGTCATTTAAATACAAAATATATATCATCATTAAATTACTTGTAAAACGGGTTATCGTGAACTTATTTGAGACCGTTCCGTTGCTTTATATGCAACGGGAAATGTTGGCTGTTCGGATAAACTGCCCCCTCCCCCACCCATGGCGTCTTCATTAGCCCTGTTAGGACTGACATGTACGCAAGCATATAAATTTATATCTTATTGATCATTATTGTTATTTTATTTTATATAGTATTATTATTATTATTATTATTATTAAGATTTTGTATTTTGTTATATATATTATTATTGATGTCGTCTATACTAAAATTATTGTATTTTGTTATATATTATTATTAATAGTAACTATTATGATTACTAAGATTATTGTATTTCTATATATTATATTATTATTAATAGCATCTATTATATTATTAAACTTGCTTTCATATTTCATATGGAAGTTAATTGTTTCTGTTAAACATGCATTATGCAAGAGCTAAATCTGCCTATCGCAGGTCTTTCTTTAGGTCTGAAATTTGTTTGCCTCAGTAATTTTACTTGGCCGCCATTGGTTAATTCAGTTTTTTAGTCCTAGATTAATTATTTATAGTTGGATTTGTATAAAACAAAGTTCATATGCCCCGTTGTCTCAATTGTCATTTTATTACCGATAGAGTTATCTGTACGCCCCGGAAGTGGCGTAATTTTATCAAAAACTACAATTTTGACAGTTAGGTAGCATTTTTCGAAAGCAAATATTATTTTTTTTAAAAACTGATATAACTAAAAGAGTGTGCCCTTTAAAGGCGCAAAAAAGTGTATGCTCAGTTATTTTAATTTCGATTTCATTTTCGAGCCAATTCGATTAAGAGGTGGAAAAAAGGTGTAAAATTGACCTATTTACAACCCATTCAGGCTTTTCAGATTTTAAAATATTTCTACGTAACTTTTATAAACTTGTAACTATAATCCATAGCAAGAAAATGTATATTAAAATTAGTTTGTAATATAAGCAGTTACCTAGTATAGAAAGGACTGTTTGCGTTATTTCGCCTGTAAAAGAGTCAATTATTATTGGATTTTCACAAAAGTGACACCATTTGATTCAAACGCAATTATGCGTCATATAAATTGATTACAATTGAAACTTGACACCGGAAGTGACGCCAATTTGTCAAAAACTGCATTTTTAAGTTTTAAAATCAATATTTTTTTCAACCAAGAATTATTTAATATGTATTAATAATTTTAACTTTTAGTTTAAATTAACATATTAATAAAATTCATACGGTCATATAGATATCATTAAATTGTTTCTAAAATGTCTGGAGGTTTCTGGTTCATAAAATTGTCAATTATTATTCGATTTTCATAAAATTTTCACCATGTGATGCCTAATGCCATAGACGATGTTATAAAACTAATTTAACATTTTTAGTATCACCGGAAGTAATGTCATTTTGGCAAACACTGTATTTTTAGCCTTCAAAACATATATTGTATTCAAATGAGTCTGATTTGTAATGCTTTTTTAAAATTATGATATTTGATTCCCATCAACAAATAGAATGAAACCGTACGATCATACAGATACCACAAATGGTTTCTAACTTATACGGTTCCAGAGAAATAGATGAACCACAAGTCACTTTTTAAGTTTTTTGGTCTAAAAGTGACAATTACTATTCGATTTACATAAAATTGTCACCAAGTGATGATGCCATTTCTGATTTCATAAAACTAATTTAACATATGTTCATGCAAAAATGTGATTTTTTTTGTCTCAGTAATATTCGTTAGCCGTCATTGGCTAATTTAGTTTTCCAGTCCTAGATTAATTTGTTATGGTTCGATTTGTATAAAACAAAGTTCATATGCTCCGTTGTCTCAATTGTCATTGTTTTGTTACCGATAGAGTTTCCTGTCGGCAATGGAAGTGACGTAATTTTACCAAAAACTACAATTTTGACAGTTCGGTACCACTTTTTGAAAGCAAATATTATTTTTTCAAAATCTAATATAACTAAAAGGGGCACACAAAATCTTGAGCTCAGATTTTTTTTTTTAATTTCGAATTCATTTTCGGGCAATTTTGATTAAATGTGAAAAAAGGTGTAAAATTAAGCTATTTACAACCCAAGAATAGCTGTCTAATCGTTCGGATGGGCCGATCAACTAAAGACCCGTCTATAAATTGATGTCCACGTTAAAGATCCCTTGGCAGTTGGAATTCGATATAAGAGTAGGTCATAGTGCCGCTGCCAGGGCAAAATTTCCCTCATAGCATTCTGTATAGCGTATGCATGCCTTATCTGGCCCAGTAGAAGCAGAACAGCAAGGCGTTAAAGCCTATTTCATTTCATAATAATAACTGTGCAATTAAAGGTTGTTCCAAATTATCATTCTACGACACAATTTACTTGTTCAACATTTTCCTGCCTTTTTTTTAGTTATTTCCCGACATTTTCAATCATTTTCTCATTTGTCCCGTTTTTCGACATCTAGATCCGTATTTTAAACTGCTGGAATGGGGAGACAATTCGATTACAGCAATACAAGTCTCAGTTATTTCCCAGATTTTTTTTGCCCGGGTGCACTGTTGCTAAATATATATATGCGTATATAACTTCGAATTTTGATCGATTTTAATAATTCTTTTTTCCTTGTTGAGATTCTTTATATAACCCATGACATGTGACAGAAACTGACCATGAATATGAAAGCTTTAATATCTGCCAAGCAGATCTAGTTTATTGTTAGTATTACTAAGATTATTGTATTTTGTTATATATATTATTAATAGTATCTAATATGGTGACTAAGATTATTGTATTTCAATATATTTTTGTATTATTAATAGAGGCACTTTAATCAAATCATTCTAGAAAACGACTTATTAAATGAATCAAAGCAATTTTTTGTGAACAGTATGTTGACACATTAGTGATTAATTCATCACAATTTCAAGACAATATGAGGAGTACAGCAGCGCAGTGTCTGTACATGGAGCGGACCACACGATTGATGAACGCCATCGGCATCTGGAACCACACCCGCAGAAATGTCTGGTGCAATCCATCGGCTGTGTTTGGTCTCGGTACGACTTATTAAGTTTTCTTTCTCTGAATTTCATCCCAAAGATGTTCAAACGGGGTTAAGTCTGGAGTAAGGGCTGGCCAGTGCATAACTTCGACACCGTTCTGCCGTAGAAAGTCCCGAGTAACGCCGGCGGTGTGTGGACCGGCGTTGTCATGCTGGAAAACGTTGTTTCGATGACGTGGTATGATGTGTGGTCTGAGAGCTTGATCGACGTAGCATACTGCTATGATGCCGCCTCTTCTCTAGTCCGGCAGACCTATGACTGAACCTGGAAATTGTAAACAAAGTTTTTTTTTTGATTGATTTTGGTATGTTTCTGGGGTCAGGGAATACACTGAAATCATTTATTATGTTGTGGTGTGATTAGATGATATTAAAATCAAACATGCCAGACAATATTACCCTTTAACTCGTTATCGACGGTTGGGGGCGATTATTTCACCGAACCAAACTAAATCTAGAGACAAATTATATATTTCTGGACATAGGAGGATATGAGTGATAGGATAACACCAAATACAGCCCTATCAGGGGGTCCGGGGCCACATGGGTCGGGCCTGAAAATGGAGACACAACCTGATTGATGTAGTACGTGTGCTTGTAGCTGCACCAGGGAGGGCCTAGAATATACAACATTTTGCGCTTGTGCTGTCACAGGTTGCAGCCAGAAACGAGACTAAAGTATTAAACTGGATATTATCTAGTTTTCTGGAAGTTATGTTCCTGTTTTGCGGGTAGAATTTGTTTTTTTAAATTTTCAACAATCAGCTTGCGCCTCCCTTTTCAGGACCGACCCATGTGGCCCTGAATGCCCTGATAGGGATGTATGTGGTGTTATCCTATAACTCATACGCTCTTATGTCCAGAAATATATAGTTTATCTCCTGATATAGTTTGGTTCGGTAAAATAATTGCCCCCCCCCAACCGCCGCTAACTAGTGAAAGGGCCATATTGTCTGGCATGTTTGACTTTAATATCATCTAATCACCCTACAACATAATACATGATATCAGTGTATTCCTTGACCCCAAAAACATACGGTTAGCCACCAAAATTATCATCCTAGAATAAATACTATGGGAGCTATAGGGGATTATTTGATGTGGCGGCCGTCTTAGACGCCATCTTGAATTTCTCAAAACGCTCAAGGTTGACCAAGGTTCACCCGTCAGATTCTGAAAGAGGACACCATAGGCTACTAAAATCAATCATAAAAAAAAACTTTGTATATAATTCCCTGGTTCACTCGAAAAATTGGGTTTGGCGACCGGACTACTCCCTGGACCAAGATTTTGGAACACCACAGGACACAATTTCTGGTTCAGGCCGATTCCACCCCAAACCATTATGCTTGGACCCCCCCCCCCCCCCCCCCACACACGAGTCTCTTCTGTGACACATTGGTCAGAATAACGCTGGTACCGTCGACGCCATATTCTAGTACTGCCATCTGCAGTTGATACGCAATAACGATTCTCCATTGCCTGCGTCGCCAGTTCTGGTGTTCTTGGGCAAACTGTAGACGTTCACGTCGATGGCGATGGGTGAGGATCGGTCCACAATAAGGTCTATGGCAATAGATGTTCTCCCTGGTGAGACATCGGCGCACTGTATCGGTACTGATGGGTCTTCCATGTGTTCCCACTGTCTGACGTGCTGTCTCAGATGCCTGTGTGAAGGAATTTTCACGTGCTGTCGCACAGCAAGGCGGTCTTGACGCCTTGCGGTAACCCTTGGTCTACCAGTTCGGAGGCGATCATCCGTGGTGTTGGTGTCGCGAAAACGTTGCTAAAGCCTGTAGATGGTCTGAACATTGACCTGGAAGTGATTGGCAACGGCTTGGGCAGTGTGGCCAGCGACGAGTGTTCTAAGCGCCTGGTTCTTCTCTAGTGTGAATGATTCAACCAGGTATGGGGGTGCATTTATAGGGCTGGGCCCGGTGAACAGCACGTGCAGCATAAATTACATGAAAGTAATGGAGAACACATTACCATCTCAGAAGTCAGGTTGCGATTTTGAGACCATTTTCTGGTTCAATTCTGTGTTTGAGAGGGAGCCTTATGGCTCAGGTAAAGGCCCGGTCCCAGTGGCCGATGGACACAAAACGTATGCAAAAAGGACACAGCGGACGAGCAAACTTTCGGGGGTTGCTCCATCCGTTTTCATCCGCTCCAGAAATGGACAAAATTGACGAAAATTTGCGAAACAGAACGGAAAAGAACGAACGTGGGGAGTATGTAGCGGGGATGTTAAATGGATGTTCATCGGAAGCCTAGCGGATGAAAGCGGGTGGAAGTGGATGACTGCTCCGGCAAACTCTAGACATCCGTCAATATACCAGATACATCCCAGATACAAACGCTTTGTCCGTTTTGAAAACTTTATACACGAGATGATACGCTTACATCCTTTCTATTTCCGTGCTACTGACGATGTATAGACATTCCATGTACCTTTTCTTTCCTCCCTCTTTTCGTTTTCAGCCGGAGCGGATGTGAGTTGCGAGGATGCCCAGAGGATGCAGAGAGGATACAGTGGACGTTTAACGGATGATACCGGACATGGTGCTCAGTTACGTCATACACGGCAGAAAGTTCTTCCGTTATGAAAGTTTTGTGCAGCTCAAAACTTTTTGCGCGGATAATATCAAAGTGAACGGATGCTCGATGGATAGAGCGTATGAAACACGTATGCAATGAGTACACAACGGATGCATGGCGTTTTCAAACGAAGGGCACGTTTTCCCCCGTTTTACATCCTCTTTGCATCCGTAAGTGCAGTGGGACCGGGCCTTAAAGTTGGCGATGTGGTCACAAATATACAATAAAAACATTGGCAAGTTTTATGCAATGCGTCTATTCAGAGTAAAAACCAACCTGACGGTTTTTTTGCTGCTTAGTATGTATTATAACAGTATTTAGTATATAATACTAAAATATTATTTACTGTAAGTAATTAATTAACAACTGTTTGGTATAGGAATACTATAAAATAATAGAGATACGCAGTGTAATCACTACACGTGCATGTTATTATAATCACAACAGGTACATGTTTTGACACGCAGTACAACATGTATAATGTTTAATTAATCACAACAGACACACGTTATACTGTCTAATCACAACACGTGCAGGTTATAACATACCATGCCACACATATATTGTTTATCACTACACGTGCAGGTATTGACAGGCCATGCCACATATATACTGTTTAATCACTACCGAGAGGACCAACATTGTAAACAATAAATGTTAGAGAAGAAGTTTATTTAATGGCTTGAGACGACAAGGTGGTTGTTTTATTATATACGATTGTATTATATTTAAATTGTTAAATGTCGAAAGCTTTAGGAATAAAGAAATATGAAGGCTTAAAAGTTATATTGAAAGATATATGACCCTTTATGTTAAAATGAAATTGTAGGTTTAATAATAATCGGACATAACAGCATATTAAATTCTGTGAATGGAATATGTCCAATAAATTTGTCAACCTTTGTTATATGTGATATGCTTGTTCAGTACGTTAAAATAGTATCCTTTTTACATGAATACAGAAATAGATATCGCTATAGTTTGATAAATTCATTGCACACAAATCAATCGACGCCCTCAACAATGGTTTGATAATCATTGCATTGAAAACTTTAATACCTTGCCAATAAATACGCAGTGAAAACATTCAACTCCCAGATTGATTTGTTTATTGATAATGCAGGTAGTTAGGCAGAGGCGCCTTCAATTTGTGTGTTACAAGTAAGTAATTTACAACTATTGTAACTTCCGTTAATTATGTTTTCGATCAATAATTCTTGAAACCCATTTCAAGCATTTAAATGGTAATTAAGGGACAAAATATAGCATTTTGTATCATAGGTTTAAAGTGTAAGCGCCATTTTGGTGTTAGAGCCCCGTTTCAAAAGCGAAAGAATCGCATGGTTTCAAAGTTATTGACAGATTCTTATCTTCAGTAATTCAGAATCATATTATTCAACGAGTGTTACACACTGATGTTCTGATATTCTACAAGTCGACTCTTAACGATATAAATATTAGGGTTTTGTGCTCCAAGGATTTTGGTTCGTTCTCATGAAAATTCAGCGGTTACCCAACCACTCTTAAAGGCACCCACATGTTGAAACCATTCAAGATTATCAATTCACTTCTCTAACAAATTTTAGGGTTTACAACAAGAGGCATTTCAAATGTCGGGTATCGATGATTGCTTTCGATGCATCCAAGCGTAAAATATTACTGCTTAATATCAGTAAAAACAAATATGAAAATTCCCTTTAGTGGCTCCTGAAAACAGAGTTTTCCGTACTCGGGGGATATTTGACTGGACGAACAAAAAAGACACACTCCGTCTGTACAGCAATGACTAGAGTGGGATTTCTCGGGTCATTGGTTCAGGAGTATAGGAGTATGTGGACGAAAATGTGTCTTGGTGCAAGACGACATTAATACTTTCATTTGTTGAATCTTGTGAATTCTTCAGGCTCTGCTGGACCTGCCACCCCCTACTGGGGCAGAGCATATTTTCTTTCCTACATTCATGAAAATGACGTCGAAAATATAACGTGCGAATCGTATACATGTATACACTTATATGAGTAGAAATAATGACTTAAAGCTTCTTGTTTTATAAAGTTCCGTACGACCTAAAGCCAGACTTGACGTTGTCTCCACCGTTGACCCTCCGCTGCTCAAATTCCTGGACACGTCCCTGGTCACGAATATACAGGATGTTTAGGCTGTATTTATGTTTTTCGTTTTATTTCAGAAAAAAATGTTTAGGCTGTATTTATGTTTTTCGTTTTATTTCAGAAAAAATGACGCTCTTGTATAGAGTTAGTTTTTGTTTCATATTGGTTAGTCAATCCGGTAAGTTGTATTACTCGGTTCGTTAAATTATCCCCATTTGTGTTTATGTATGTATTAGTATATTTAAACCAGGATCATAACTGCCTAAATGTGGTGTATTCCTAGGAAAACCTGAACATTTCTGACACAACCCCACCCCAGCCCCAGCCCCTTCGGATAGGTATAACCGTTTTATATTCTTAAGCGCACGGCAAACCTGGTAAAAATTTATATAGTAGATTGATATGCTTCTAGGAAACACTCATCAATTAAAAAAACGAGCGTATTATGGACCAGGAACTGACCATGTTGTTGAATGAAATACAAAAATCTAATTCACCACATCGATGTATAATTGTTCAAAGAAGAAGCATGCCAATTGTCATGTCGATCGGAATTGAACTGACGGAGCGTTAGGCTTTGTCAAAGGGCGCCTGCCCAAGAACAAGACGAACATGAAGAACAAGATCTGTTGCGGTTAACGACCAGGTCCTGGTCGAAAAACATTCCACTTCCTTAAGACAACATAGATTCAACCATATTGTACATTGTGTTATGTTGGCCTTTTGGCCTCAAATGTTATATAAATTATTAGGCATTTATGAACATTAAGCCGACCATAATCAACTCTACAAAGCAGCGGATGGTTGTGGTTTTGAATGGATGGAAACACGATTGCCATTTAATAATTTAATTTAAAAATAAAGCGATAATGCAAGAACGAACTTAGAATACTAATAAACGTGTCCCGGAATAACATAATTGGACTTAAATTGTTAATATATTCTTTATGTATTATCTATGTTTGAACTATGATAGCAAAAACGACCAGCTCTTTATCTAAATCATGCATACTGTTTCTTTTAATGAATCAGGATTCTAAATCGTTCAATTTTACCTCCAGGGGTCGTGCCTAAATACAAATATGACATTTTATTTTAGGATAATGTCGACGATTGAATTTTTAGTAACAATGCCCTGATTCTTGTGTTGTCTTTTTAACTAGCCATTACATCTTTCTTGTTGTAGTGTCACAAAACTTCGTCATGAAGTATGGATGTTACAGCCCATCGTCTTCATCCTGCTCTAAACATACTTTGTCTTGTGGTACTGACAAGATTATTATCGACGAACGGAATTACAGATTATCGTACGGTAGACATGATTCCAATTCGTCATGTGGGTGTGGTAATAACCAATGCTGTAGGAAGAAAACGGCGGACCAGGTAGATCCAGTTAGTCAAGATTATCGTTTACAAGTTTATAAGAACTGTTCTAATGAACATAGCTGTATCCTCGAGTCCCCTTACAGCCCTGATAGCAACTATCATTATATTCAATATCCAGTAATGTGTATGATTGGTAAGTATATATACTGATTGTCATTATATAAAAAATAAAATATCACATATTATATACAATATTATATAATAAAACATCACATATTATACTATTCAAAAAAAGTAGGGGATATTTGATTTTGGGGGCATAATACTAAAATATGCAAATGACTACGAAAAAGGTCACTATAGAACCTAACAGAAGAAACATTTCCAGTTACATGTGACGCCCAAACGCACCAATAGCTACCGCATGGAATGCATGTGATGCTTGGGATCATCATGGGGGTCCAACCCAAGATTTGCACGACTCTGACTTTGAATGTTACAGTCATTGTGGCATTGAATTCCAGGGTGGAAACATCAGTTTAATTGTTTTAGTGACCAGAAAACAAATTTTGATATGCGTCGGCTTACCCAAAATGAAAGGATACGTGCCCTTGGCATGCTACAGATCGGCACAACACAGGCGGTTGTGGCGCGGACGATGAATGTTTCTCAGTCTGTCATAAGCAGGCTATGGTCCAGATACCGTGATACACAATCTGTACAGGACAGACCACGCTCAGGTCGACCAAGGGCGACAACTCAAGCCCAGGATCGATTTATCCGTACCTTGGCCTTGAGAAATCGTGTCATCACAGCAAATCAGATCAGCGCTCGTCTTCAAACAGACACTGGTGTGAGAGTAAGTGGCCAGACGATTCGGAATCGACTGCATAGGGGTCACCTTCGCGCCCGACGTCCTCGCGTGATCCCTTGTTTGAGAGATCATCACATTCAGGCAAGACGTCGTTGGTGTAGGGATCGTCAACACTGGGATAATCGACGCTGGAGCAATGTGATGTTTTCAGATGAGTCAAGGTTCACTGTTGATTTTTTGGACAGACGTAGGAGGGTGTGGCGTCGTCGAAACGAGCGCTTCCAAGACGTTAACGTCATCAGACATGATCGATTTGGGGGTGGTTCTGTTATGGTGTGGGGAGGCATCACTGTTGCTGAAAGAACGGCTTTACATGTTGTTGCAGGGCGTGTTACAGGCCAGTACTACCGGGACAACATCTTGGCAGTCCATGTTGTGCCGTTCGCACGACGTCATGGCCGCCGTTTCATCTTCCAGGATGACAACGCAAGATGTCACAGGGCCAGGATCGTTACAGGTTACCTCCAACAACAGAACATCACCACATTACCTTGGCCAGCACTGAGTCCCGACCTCTCCCCCATCGAGCATGTCTGGGACATGCTTGGACAGAGGTTACGTCAACGTCAACAACGTCCTGCCAATGTCCAAGAACTTGCTGCTGCGTTGCAACAGGAATGGGACAATCTGGACCAAAATGACCTTAGACGTCTCATTAGGAGTATGCCACGTCGGATCAATGCTTGTTTGGCAAACAGAGGAGGATTTACCCGTTACTGACTTGGTTGTGATGCTGTGGTAACTTTGCTGTTTGACCCCGGGTATCATTTTACCCTTATAATGGTCAGTCTGTGCCTTACTTAGTCTAACGATCATTTGGAATAAATCGATGAATGTGAACTTCATTTCATTTTGTCATTTGTTTCTTCGTCAGTTTCATTAGGTGACTTTAATAACACTTAAAAATCAAATATCCCCTACTTTTTTTGAATAGTATATATTAAAAAAAAATCACATGTTATATAAAATATCACATATTTTTTTTATTAGTAAGTATAGTGATTGCTGTTATATAAACTATTACCTATTATATAAAACATAGTACCGCTGCCCGGGCAAAATTTCCCTCATAGCACACAGTATGGCGGATGCCCGTCTTCTTTAGCCCAGTATAGGAGCAGAACAGTAGGACGTTAAACCCCATTTCATTTCATTTCATTTCATTATATAAAACATCACATATTATAAATACACAGCTATAAAATATCATATAATTCTTACATAAGGATCAGTCAGACTGGCTGAATGTTCAGTGATATAGAAAACGATTAGTATCATAGTATTAATATTATTATATTATATAAATAATCACATATTATAATATAAATTATCACATATAATATGAAATATCACATTTTATACAAAATAAATCACCTTATATAAAATTTCACATATTATATAAACATATATAATATTTATTATTAAAAATCGCATATTATTTATTGTTAAAAATCACATACTATATATTATATAATAAATACTACATTTCATATCACATGCTATTATTATAGAATTAGAACCTGAAAGAAGAAAAACTACTAATATACATTATAGACTAGTAAATATAGTATAGAACTACCACATATTATATAAAATATCATATGCTCTATAAAATATCACATATTATAGACTAGGAAATACATTATAGAACTAGTATCTGAAAGAAGAAAAAAACAACTTGTATACATTTTTCGTTTCAGATAATAACCTTTTTAACATCATGAATATTACAAGTCCGGTGACAGCATTAAGATATATGCGATTATATTTCTCTGGACAAGATACACCAACACGAGGTCTGACCTGTTCTTGTAACGTGTCTGTCTCGCACCCGGTCTTTATCCAAGAATGGGTCGTCAGTCTAGTTGGTGAATCGTGTGGCAGGGTGGATGTCATTGTAAATGGTAGACGGAAACTGAACTGCAGTACTGGCGGTTTATTTCTATCGATGGGAGAAATGCAAACATGGGGTGGGGCCGATTTTTCAATCATAGAATTTAAAAATTTTACGGCGTCACCAGATGACATACTATGGATGGATTACTGGACGGGTAAGTTATTATTACATTCTCGATATACATGTAGTCGAATATCTAAGCAAGACTTGTGGAATATTTCAATAGTCCATACAGTACGATCTGATATATATCCCTGAGTTTTGGGTCTTGGCATGCTATCAGATAGATATAACATAACACAGTTATATGGATAACAATCACTATAATATTATATATACACGCTAGGGTCCCATAGTTGTTGGCTTATGGTTTCTCTTAAGGCCCGGTCCCAGTGGCCGATGGACACAAAACGTATGCAAAAAGGACACCGCGGATGAGCAAACTTTCGGTCGTGGCTCCATCCGTTTTCATCCGCTCCAGAAATGGACAAAATTGACGAAAATTTGCGAAAACAGAACAGAAAAGGACGAACGTGGGAAGTATGTATAGTGGGGATGTTAAATGGATGTTCATTGGAAGCCTAGCGGATGAAAGCGGATGGAAGTGGATGACAGCTCCGGCAAACTCCAGACATCCTGCAATATACCAGATACATCCCAGATACAAACGCGTTGTCCGTTTTGAAAACTTTATTACGAGATGCATACGCTTACGTCCTTTCTATTTCCGTGCTACTAACGATGTATAGACGTTCCATGTACCTTATCTTTCCTCCCTCTTTCCGTTTTCATCTGCAGCGGATGTGAGTTGCGAGGTTGTCCAGAGGATGCAGATAGGATACATTGGACGTTTAACGGATGATAACGGACATGGAACGTTTGGTGCTCGTATATGTCGCGCATTTACATCGTACACGGCTCAAAACTTTTTGCGCGGATGAAATCAAAATGAACGGATCCTCGATGGATAGAGCGTATGCAACACGTATGCAATGAGTACACAACGGATGCATGGCATTTTCAAAAGGAGGGCACGTTTTTTTCCCCGTTTTACATCCTCTTTGCATCCGTAAGTGCAGTTGGACCGAGCCTTTATTTATTGCTCAATGTACTTTTATATAACACTGTCACAATTGTTCATCATTTGTAAGTTGTATGCTTGATATAATGTATATAATGTAGTGATTGTCATCCATAGAACTGTGTTGTGGTATATTATGTTCAATCGCTAAATGCCATTCAAAGATTATTAACGCTAGATATACCTGGTGAATTGGTCTTGACATGCTAAATAATTATATATAATGGTATATATTCCTGGTGTACTGGTCCTGGCATGTTATATATTTATATATATATATATGTCACTGGTGCACTGGTCTTGACATGCTATATAATTATACATATATAGATATTTCCGGTGTATTGGTCCTGACATGCTATATATTACAATAATTGGTGAAGATACTCGCGTTCCTTGCTTCTCTTTGACGAGTTCGTTTACTTGCACGATATTGTGGACATGCGAGGCTTAGTTGTCGTACCGTTCGAAGTCTAAGATGCTGCCCTTTGTCAGTTCGTTCGTCTTACATCGTTGACAAGGGGAATCCATGTTGCAAAATTATCAACCCACTTAAGTGTGACATCGAATAGTTTTTAAAATGTGATAGCGTAACGTGTTTGACTTGGGATATGGGTTATTCTTGTAGACAGCCAAATTAAAACATTGTAAAATGAAATGACGGGTAAAGGCACATTGGTGAAGTAAATATTGTTTTGTGACCATTAGATACATTTTTAGCAGGGAAACCCGAACCTTTTGCTGTCCTTTTACATTTATAACTTCATAAAGGATTGGTATATCAGTTTTGCCGTCGATCCTTTAAAATAGACATACTGCCAAGTCTTGTATTAACAACATAAAGTTGTATTATAAGTTCATAAATATTTACAATAAAAAAAATTGAATAGCCGATTATATACACAGAGAAAAACTTATCGAATGTTTTTGCGTTCAAGAGAAATGTATCACGTAAATACGTAATGCGAAAGAGAAATGAAAGGTTTGAAGTCATCTGATCTCCATTATATACCTATGTCGCCATGTTTGAATAATCATAATCAGCCATTGCCATGGGAAAGGTTTAAATTCGAGGTGTTAACTGTCTACATTTCACAATGGGACATCGACAACTCATTACAAACTGACCGCAAGTTAATGGCATGGAGAATGCTGGTATTTCAATAAGACAGATATCACGACCGCAGAGGACTGTCAACTTTCTAGCACATCTCGCAGTACTAGTGTTGCAAATCAAATAGTTACCTCATTCCTACCTATAGAATTGTTCGTAATGCTAAGAGACACATTAGACGACCTGTATCGCCACGTGTTCATAAGGATGCACGACTGGCATGGTGCCGAGCTTGTCTCCATTCAGGACCGAATTAAAATGAAGATAAAGATAGGCCCTATGCTATTCCACTGATGAGGACCCCCCATCACCATCCCCACCCTCACGACTAGAGGATGATAACAGCCAAAGTTCATGACCGATGTGTAGGATATTTGTGCTATATCAGTGTTTCCTCGAGGTAGTGCAAGACGATTGGATACAATTCTGGACGTAACATATCTGATCATATATAAACAGGGGTATTGCTAAACAAATGTATCTATGTATATAAATTTAAAAACATCAACTCGACACTTAGTCCGCACTGTACTTTAGCGATAGAGTCGGTGGGCATAACACTCAATTCATCAATACAGGAGAGTTAAACAAAATGTAGACAACAATAAGCACATCCACCCGACGAGTTTCAAGTATAAACACTATCAGCTCAATCCAGTTCCTTAAATGTCCTTTTAATATGCAGTTGATACATAGACCACTGTAGCGCATAGAAAATAACCATGCTGTTAGAGATTATAAGGTATTTATGAATGTTGTTGTTTGTTTTGTTTTGTTTTTTTAGTTGTTGTTTTGTTCTTGTTTTGTTTTGTTTTCTTCTCCATTTCAAGATCCACTTGATTCAAAAATAATTGCATCCTGTAACTGTACCCAGTCGGGTGAGTCTATGTTTACTTATTCTCCATATAAATCGTATTGGTGAGATAATATTGTTGTTTTAACTGTTGATTGATTAGAGTCTAAGTGCCAGCCAAGGTCAGTCAAGAATATATCTTTGAATCTATTCTTTTTTGTTGGTAATATCTTTCAAAACAAAAAGATAATTGAATGTCTATGAAACAATTTTTTTTCACATTTAGGTCTAAATATTAAGGTCACTTGCAATGTCATGAGATGTAGTAGCGTTAAGGCATGTGATTGGTGTCATCTTATCTAGCCTAGCTGTGGTCTGACAATTATATAACTCTGTCTGGTGTTTCCCCACTACTAGGAGTGTCTGTCAGAGTGTTTTTTGTAATTCTTGAAGATATGAGATACGCCGCTGTACCATTTTCGTGTGGTACACTTTTGAGCTAATCTAGCTCAAGAATGCATGTTCAGAATCACATAGCCACATCCACCAGCAGATATAATAGGTACACAATGGTACACTTTTCAACTTGGTTGACTCCCTGGGCACCTGCTCTATTAGTACATCACATTTGAAGGCAGTTAATATTGGTAGGTAGTGGTATATCACATTGGAAGAATGATAATATTGGTAGGTACTTGTATATCACATTGGAAGAATGATAATATTAGTAGGTACCGGTATATCACATTGGAAGAATGATAATATTAGTAGGTACCGGTATATCACATTGGAAGAATGATAATATTGGTAGGTACCGGTATATCACATTGGAAGAATGATAATATTGGTAGGTAGTAGTTTATGACATTGGAAGTAAAATAATATTGGTAAGTATTGGTATATTAAACTGAAGGTTATGTAACATATTGGAAGTAAGATATGATATTGCGAGAAGGAAGATAATGTGGGTAATAGGATATCACATAGAAAGTAAGTACTGGTAGATTACATTGAACGTAAGGCAACCTATTAAGAGAAGGTCCTACTACAATTTCAAATTATATGAGCAAGAAGTTCATAAAATGCGTTAGAATATTGGGGTATTACGCACTTTTATTCTTGAATTTTGTACAAATGGAGCTTAATACAAAGAGGGACAGAAGATTGTCTTCGGGGTAGATTTTCAAAATTATCATCGAAACTTAGTTTATTATGGACACTACCATTATGTGAATATTTCAGAACACGAATACCATTAACATTGGGGAATGTTGATGTTCTCCCGGTGCCTAAGTAGGTCAGACAAACATTTAACCTTCTAGGAAGGTGTAGCCTTGTTCTGGTTACTGCCTGTATATCAATAGTGGTATCGCAGATATTGGCACGAGGTGTGCTATCTCCTTTGAATTGAAATGAAATGGGGTTTAACGTCCTGTTGTTCTGCTTCTTTTGATTTATTTAAAGTTATGTGATCTGCTTTGATGACTGTGTGATTCTATTGGTTGATTTAAGTTTCGTGGTATGTATTGATTTTAGTTTTGACATTATGTTTGGATACTAGTTTTCGGACCTCTTTGACTTAAGGTGTGTGATATGTTTGGATGCTGGTTTTATGATCTCTTTGGTTGACGGACGTTGAGTGATATGTATGGGTGTTAGTTTTATGATCTGTTTGGTTGACGGACGCTATGTGGTATGTTGGTATGCATGGATGCTAGTTTTGTTATCTCCGTGGTTAATTGAACCACACCTACATGAGCAGTCATAATCCAGACAAGAGGTACCATTACACTGACGTTCCAGAACATGGTCGGTACTGCAGAATAAACAGAACTTCAAGTAAATTAAGACCGAAAAGAATCATTGAGACTTTTAAGTCTGAATCATATTTGTAAGGGGGGGTAAGTATCGTCGTATAATTCAGGTGACACTGACATGCCAGAAAACAAAAATCCAATTCATGCCGGATAATCACTCTGTATTATATTATCTAATAACATTGGCGAACTCTAAGCCATGCAAGTAACATCAAACTGAACAAGATGAAAATGGACCCTCTCCTCAATCAAGTCGAAGTGACAAATAAAGATACTTAAAATAGAATTGACAGCTCGGGGTAGTTTTATTCCAACTAAAAGGAGCTCGAAACCCCTTTATTATGATGTTAATATCATTGACATGTTCTCTTTTTCAGACCAGATTAGGTTTGTCTGCACAGAAATTGATTTTGTGGAAGTTTCTACAGCACTTGTGAACGATTTCCATTGTAGTTCAATGGCGAAAAGTACCTAAAGTTCTAATTGCTTTTTCTATGGTGGCTGATTGGTATCATGTCGTGATGTCGTGGTGTTGCCCTTCACAAGGCAACAACCCGACATCACGACATTTTAACCCGACACCACCACAACACGACAACCAAACATCACGACATCACTACATTTTTACTTGACAGATGAGTCCAGATTTACTCTGGAGTTCACCGATTGACGTGCTCGCGTTTGGAGGCGTGTAAATGAGCGTCATGCTAACGTTAACGTCAGACAGCATGACATCTTCGTGCGTGGGTGAGGAATCACCATGACTAGCAGAACGGACTTGCATATTGTTCAAGGAAGGGACAGTGGTGTGTATTACCGTGACCACTTCCTGGTACCGATAGTTCTGCCCTTTGCTCAACGTGCAGGTCGATGTTTCATCTTTCAAGATGATAATGCCCGTGTCGTGAATGACTACCTCCAGCGTCACCATATTGTCCATATGCCTTGGCCAGCCATGAGCCCTGACCTTTCCCCTATAGAGGATGTCTGGGACATGATCGGGAGACGTGTTCTTCGACATCAAAGTCCATCGACAACACTGCTAGAATTGACCGCGGCACTGCAAGAGGAGTGGGTCAGATTGCCCCAAATCATGATTGTGTGGTTGAGTAGGAGCATGCCACGACGAATTGCTGAATGTCTGAGGATTGGTGGAGCAATTACTCATTATTAAGACAAAAATCAAAAACGTCCATTTTCACTGTTGACAGTGTAACTATTTGCGAGTGAAATGGTGCCGTCAAATAAGCCACCCATATGAACTGTTTATGTTCATGTGTAGGCAATTGGCCTCTTATTAACATACACTACTCTTTTAAAAACAGCAGTGCATTTCCGCAGTTTTGTATTGTTTCTGAATATCCCCTACTTTTTGAAGAGTATATATAGAGGTTAGGCTGTGAATGTCACTTTAACAAATTACGGGAAAACAGAAAAAGTTAAAACCCCACCTTCATCAAACATACTTCAAAATATCATTTTCGTAGACACACAATCCTTTGACAAATGTACGCCTGATAATGAACAAATGATGTAGACAGTTGTAGAAGTAGGGTTGTCGAGAATGGTTTTATGTACAGATATGTTACTTCCTTACTTGAGATTTCACCACTTTAGTCTATTAAAATAAAATTGGACACGGTACAGGTAAGTACTTACTGTTATGTAATATTTTAATATATTGACCATTGGGGGATTTAAATTAATTTTGCTTAAAACTATATGTTCAATATATTAATGTTAGCTAGGTTCCCACTATTGGGGGCTGAGTCGGTAGCCAGTAAGGGGTCTTATTCTTTATGTGGTAGTTTTCATAGTTAACTATGAAATGAAAGCTATTCCATTATCCAACTGGCCAAAAGGGTTAGCGTTCGCTTTAGAACATAAGATCTGCCATTGAGACAAGTTGGGTGGTTTCGATTCCCGGCTAGTACGTGACAGTCGGCTGTCCAACGAACACGAAAGGCCTCTTAATAATTGAATTTGAAACTTGTATTGAAAATTTGGACTCAGTATTTAAAAGTGGTTTCTGAATGTGAGGTGGCCACAGAGTAAAAATACACAGAGTGGCGACTGCTTCATTTGCATACAAAGTAGGTCGCGCACTGCATCTTGGGGTTTGTCTGTAATGTCACTAAACATCGCAGAGTAAAAATAACCAAATCTCTTTAATTTCGTAGTTTTATAGTATATTCGGTAACAAAACTGCTGAGAATTATCACATACAATCATATGTTAGTTGTTTGTGTGTTTCGGGAATTTATAAAACTTGATTCATATTTTTAAAACATGGATAAACGCAGCGTGGGACGACCCGGATTGCAGTGAAAGACGGCAATAATTGTGACGGTTTACGAATTGGTCTAGGCTGTAAATTATTGTCGATTTTTAAAGGTTTTTATTAACTTTAAAACTAATCCACCAAATACTTGTAGTTTCGATTTCTAGATTTGAAAGTAATTTCCATACATCTTAAAATGGGCCATTTGAAAATGTTAAAGTGCCACGCCCTCTTTTGGATAAGGCCTATTTTACTCAACATGATTTATCCCCCCCCCCCAGTGGTTTCGTGACAGTCGACTGTCCAGCGAACCAGAAAGGCCTCCTAATAATTGAATTTGAAACTTCTATTGAAATTTAAATGCGCTTTCTAAATGTGAGGTGGCTTAAATGGTAATAAATATAAATCAAATCAATCGTATCCCCTGTTACAATGCCATAGAGTCTACATATTACTACGGCTAAATTGTTTTCATATCTGTTAAAGTGTTTTAAAACCACTCCATACAATGCCTTTGAACTCGTTTTTCTTCCATTTGAATTGCGATAACATGTTATTGTCGATTTATACAATAATGGAGTTTAACACTGCCGAACTAAGCGAGGTGATGATTAATCTAAAACATTTTAATTATTTCTCGTTGATGTGTTGTTAGAAATTACAGTTCGGATTGTGTAATACTATTGGATGATGAGATGGTGCAGTGATTTGTCGATTATTGCCCTATAACATCCAACCCGTAATACCAATTATCTTTATAATACCAACCTCGTGGATTTTCTCCGGGTTCTCCGTTTTCCTCCCACTGCTAAAGACCCCTACGCGCAAGCTAATAATTGTAATAAAATTGAACCATATGTTAGTCTCGAAATGACATAGTTTGTGTAGATTGGACGTTATAGTTTGTGTAGATTGGACGTTAAACCCGCTCCCCTCTCTCTCTCTCTCTCTCTTTCTCTCCATTACCCAATATATTACGTCCTGATAAATCACTTTATAATACTCTTAACTATTCAGTTTATTTATCAAGCTATTTTTACCCCTAGGTCTTTTCTTTCTTCAGCCGTCTTTTGTACATTGAACAAACATGCAAATTACATGTTATTTGTACGATTTAACTTGACTGACAATTATCTACCGTATCTTTATAAACAAGATAGGTTCATTGTTGTAATATTAGAGTAAGAAACTCTTTCTGTTATCAAGCCCGTTTCAACAGGGAAGATTTGCGGATAGTACATAAGCCACGCCCATCTTGTGACAAACAAGTTTGCGTGCGAGAGAGAGAGAGAGAGAGAGAGAGAGAGAGAGATTGGATTTAACGTCCACTCGACGGACATTGTTAAATTATGTTATTTCAATAGTGGTCTTCTTTATCTGTGTGAGACGAAACCAGAATCCCACGAGGTTGGTCTTGCGACCCTTTTCCTTATCACCGGAATCGAAACCACGCCACTTATTATCCAACGCGCACACGTTAACCATTCGCGCCCATCCCCCCGCTCCCCCGGGATGTATGAACAGTCTCCTCTAGTAAAATTTGATTCTTCTTCTTATTATTATTACTATTATGTTTATTATTGTTCGATTTATATAGCGTTTCATTACACATGTGTGTTTCTAAGCGCATTCACAACACAATACTTCAAAAAAATTTTTGAAATAAATATGTTTTTAAGTTAGTCTTAAAGCTCGAAGAGATTTTTGGAAGATCATTCCATATTTAAGCTGCTCTGACGGAGAAAGCATATTCACTAGAACGTTTATTACATTTAGGGATCCTCAATATGCTACGATACCCTGAAGAACGAAGGTTGGATCGCCGGGGAGTATAGAAATCAAAGAGTTCTTTTAAATAACTGAGTGCAGTGTCAGAATAAATTGATTTAAACACATCCACAAAAGTTTTAAATTGAACCCTCGCTCGTGTTCTAGTTCTGAGATGCGCAGCATTGTTTTGTGCTATTTAAAGACGTGAATTTGCATAGTCCATATGCGATGTTACTAATGCTCTAACAACACTCTGGCAAGCCTCGGGGGGGGGGGGGGGGGGGTGGGGATGATGATGGCTGAATGGTTAGCACGTGCGCGCTGTATCATAAAGTCTGTCATTGAGTCAACTGGCGTGGTTTCGAATCCCCGGTTGTACGTGACAAGGAGTAGGGTCGCCTGTCCAACCTCGTGGGTTTTCTCCGGGTCCTCCGGTTTCCTCCCACTACTAAAGACCCCTACGCGCAAGCGAATAATGGAAATAAAATTGAACCATATGTTATTCCCGAAATGACCTAGTTTGTGTCGAGTGGACATTAAAACCCATTTCTCTCTCTCTCTCTCTCTCTCTCTCTCTGACAAGCATCAGTATTAAGATTAGAGCGTATTCTCGAAATAGCTCGGGGCGGGGTGGGTGGCCGAATGGGTAGCACGTGCGCGCTGTATCATACGGTCTGTCATTGAGTCAACTGGCGGGGTTTCGATTCCCCGGTTGTACGTGACAAGAAGTAGGGTCGTCTGTCCAACATCGTGGGGTTTCTCGGGGTCATCCGGTTTCCTCCCAATGCTAAAGACACCTACGCGCAAGCGAATGATTGAAATAAAATTGAACTATGTGTTAGTCCCGAAATGGCCTAGTTTGTGTCGAGTGGACATTAAGCCCATTTCTCTCTCTCTCTCTGAAAAGCATCAGTATTAAGATTAGAGCGTATTCTCGAAATAGCTCTCGTTTGAAGATACATTTTCAGTATGCTACTATTGATTTGATCATGAGTATGCTTAATCTATATGTCACTGTCCTATACAAATCATAAATAAAAACATCTTAAAAACAGATGAGGCGTCCCGAGATTGTTCACCTCATTACACATATAACTGACAAAATTTGTTTTACCCATGTAAAACATTATATTTGTAGTGTGATGAAGTGTTTTTGCTATTCAACATGGCGATATATAATTTGATGTTTTATATGATGATACTGTTTATGATTCAGTCATATGGTAAGTTACTTTGTCCAAACAATTACCCCCCCCCCCCCTACAATAAAACAGGAAAACAAATAAAGATTTCATACTCTGGATTTTAGGCAAATGTTAAAATGTAGCACTCAGAACCTGTCCTGGGTCTGCAAGGACGCATTACTCACTGAAGGTGACGCCACGGGATTCACAGTGGTGTCGCTGCAGAGTTTAAAAATAAATTTGGCTACATATAACAGAATCTTTAATTCAATTCGTTTTGTATGTGTAGGTCATGTCATTTTTTCCGAAAACTGGCATTCATTCACCTTGCACGATTGATATTGCGGAAATTCACTTCTATGGCAGGACCAACAATATCACACCCTCCGTTTGCTGTTATGTTTCAATTCGGCATTCGCCCCAATCTGTGGTTTATGAAACTTCTGTAGGTCTGTAGGCGACATGATACACCAACAGAAATGCGGGTATCATTTGAATATACAGTTTTCGCTGGGTCTTCCAGTTACCTACCTCTCACAGCTAAAAACTCCTACGCGTAAGCGAATTATTGAAATAGAATTGAACCAAATGTTAGTCCGGAAATTAACTAGTTTTTGCCAAGTCGATGTTACAATCAAATCGATTCATCTCTCTCTCTTATTTATTTCAGGTAATGGACAAATGGTGAAACAGAGTTTTCTATGCGGCGATCGCAATTCATTATATTTCTGCTTTAATGAACACGAGTCGTCTAGATTAATGTGCGATCCATACCACGTTATTATTATAATTAATGTTACAACGGGATATTACAATGAACCGGGACAAGTGTGTTGTCATGAGATACCAAAACGTTTCAGTACCCTCGAATTGAATTCAGATAATAATCTTGGAGAATTGTATCGGGGCATAGCATATTGTGTATTATCCCATAGTTGCACAACGAGAACTATTAATGCCTTTGACCGTTTTGACAAATATCCATCTAAACATTTCATATCATATATTGACTACATATGTGTTAGTAGTAAGTATTCATTTGTCTCTAACTGAATAAATATGTGCTTTTAGTAAGTATTAAACAACTATGCCCATTCCACACCCACAAACATTGAAATGTGTGATCAAGGGAACACGAAAATAATCATATTCTTGGGAAACGTGTATGCATTCTTCTCCAGAGACGACTTCCTACCGACATCACTGAAGTGAAGTGGGGTGGGGTTTTACATAAACGTTCTTTCTGCATCAATCCCCATGAAGACGCGTGGAGCCACGGTGGCTAAATGGGTAAGACGCTAGGTCGCTAGTCTGGAGGTCGCGTGTTCGATCCCTGAATTGGCCGAGAAAGTCCATCCGGATTTTCCGTGATCCAGGACGGAGGGACTGACAAGGACAGCGGTCTACTCGTTCGGATGGTACGAAAAACCGAGGTCCCGATATCCCTTTGCGGTTGGAATGTGATACACTGTTAAAAATAATAAGGAAGTTTACACCAATTCAGGTGGAAACTAGTTGCCACTTCCAGTATTGTAACTTGATGCACGCAGACAGTGTAATGTTACACTTAAATAGTTTACACTTCCATTATAATTATTACACCAACGCGAGTGTAATTTGTTTTGTTGGATATTTATCTCAAGCGAACGACTTCTAAGTTCAGAAAACGTGAAATATGCTATGATAATTAAGATAGGGTGTTTAGCCCTAACCTAGATTACATATAGACCGTCGGCTACTGCGCTTCATTTTACAACGACATTAAATTGATAAATATCCATCAGACTGATTCAAATTCAACTGCTGTTGGGTAATTAGACAATCTGTACCAGTTTACAATGAATATAAATTATGAGGAAAATTCAATACACGTACCCTTACAACTTAGCTGAATAATGTGGTTTATCCATTTATGCACCTCACCTGAATATAGATTAATTAATTAAGCTATAGTACTTTTTAACAGTGTATAAGAGTAGGCCATAGTGCCGCTGTCCGGGTAAAATTTCCCCCATAGCATACTGTATGGCGTATACCCACCTTCATTAGCCCAGTCGGAGCAGAAAAGTAGGACGTTAAACCACATTTCATTAGAACATTTTCCCCCTGACAGCATCCAACGATTATATCCAATCGTCAAGGGTTCCTTCGCGCAATCCGAAGGACTGGACATTATTCCTTATACCCCCTCCCCACCTCCCTCGTCTCCATTTTATTTCTATATAGAATCAAACTTTCTTATATTTCAGATACAACAATTATAAATATGACTAAACGTGGGATGAACCCCAACTTGGAAGGTTTCTCTTTGGCTTATAACAAATATCGTTATCCTGATATGGATAACAATTTCTATTGTAGTTGTGATATCACAGCGGATGGTGATGATGTATATATTTATACCACGATCTCGTTTCTTGGACTTAATGTTGTTTATAATACTAGTGTGACGATTTATAGCAGAGATCTTACAGTTCGTTATGACGAGAACAACACGGACATGACACATGTTGATAACTTTGGTTACAAATATCTGGTTTATAAACAATTAAAACAGATAAAAGGGCCGATGCACCTGGTGTATGAAGGTGACGGACTACAACCTTCTATTGATAAGATATGGATTGATTTTAAAGGTTAGATATTATATTACTTGTCGGTAAAACTCAAAAAACTTATAATAAAATAATATGTATTGATTTTAAAGGTAAGAATACTCAAGAGTTTGATACCTATTCCAGGAGGTGGTTGATCCAGATCAAATGTGTCACTATGGGACAATGGTGCATTTACCATTAAGACCGCTATTGTGCCGTTCGAAAATGACTTCCATGAATTCTAAACTTTAGGTAAATTAGATAAAGAATATTGTTTCACATTGTTTATATTTGATGGGTGACATAATACACCGGACTATTACATTACTGTAAGTTTATCCGGGCATTGTCATACATATCAGTTCCACAGTTGGATCTTCAGATAGTGACATGTGATTGGAAAAATGTGCTGTGCATACAGATTTAAAATATCATTTAAGTCACTCCACGGCATCCTAGATCAGTCATACACCACTTCGTTGACTATCATTTAAATTCAGTTATGAATAATTCTATTTACGCAGTCAACTAATTACTCTATGTCCATTTTATATTTATGTAGTCCATCAAGGTCGTCTCAGGGTCAACTGTAAAGGATGTCAAAGTGGATATTCTGTACCCCCGGCATTTAGCGTTTCTCAGCCTCCAACCACATTTAACGCTGCTCGACCTCCAACAACATTTAACGTTCCGACATCACAACCAATAATCAAAATTCCACAAACTTCACCAACCTGTGACCTTGCGCCATCTTCAGATATCTATAAAATTGCTCTAATTAGTGTTCTAGTCATCATTGCTATACTTGGGCTTGTGATGATGGGTGTTGTTGTTTACAAGAAACGGTAAGTTGTGATCTGTGATGATAAGTGTAGTTACTTAGTGTAACGCTCGCTTGCTCATTAAAGGGAGGTAACTATAATGTCACTAAAACAAAATGTTCGTAACCCCGGTAACCGACTACTCACCAATGTGCAAATGTCACATGCTAACGTTCGACACAAATCATGAATGATTCATTGATGTCTGAACATTGGTGTCTTGTAAGTTGATACTATGTCTTTTTTGAGTATCTATTCTCTCTTATCTTTTGAACAGAATTTGCACCAAAGAGAAAACCAAAACACCTACTGAACAACCAACTATATCGGAACCAGTGTCGGATATGCAGATAGTATCAAGAACCTTGCCGGATATACCGATAGTGTCAGAAACTGGGTCAAACATGTATGACACTGTGGACATGAAGAACCAGTCAGCTCGAGTCGTCTATGAATCCCTTGAACATGGTACAGTTTATGAAAGTCTTGATGGTGATACAAATCTGCCTTAGTTCTTTTTTATACGAATAACCCTTCATTCGGAATAAATCGACATATTTGAACTAACTTTCTAAATTCAGCTATTGTGTTCTGATCAGGCATTTTTCAACTGGAAATATTGGAATCATGTAAGTATGTGCACTAAGTTATTGTACACTGGGCCCCTATAATGACGTCAACTGTAAATACCGTAACTTGCTTATATTTATTTTAAATCCTGATCAAATACGTCCACGGGCTTTTTACTGTTGTAAATAATTCTAATCATTAAAATGACATCACAATATATTTGCTGGTTTACTGTCATTGTACAAACGTAGACCTTACTAACATAATATTATGCAACCCTATTTCCACACTCAGCTTGCTCGCAGGGTCTTTAGAAGTGTCCGGAATCCACACTACCGCAGTTTTAACACTAGGTTTGTGGTCGAACCCAATCTTTAATGTCATGAACAAATCTCGGATCGAACGGATGAATTGAATGGGTAATATTATGATCTTATATTCACTGATCACCTGTTTAACAGCAAGGAAGAAATAGCTTTGTTTAACGTGCTTCAATTTTAAACTACCTGGTAGGTGTTTGGTCTGTCAGATTGATAGGGCAGACACTTTGTATACATTTGATGAAACTTGTCGTTTGCTATGTGCTAATTATTATAATAGCAAATATTATTTTGATCTTGTCATGCCATTATTTTTATCTTGCCAATATTTGAATACTGGTTTAACCATTATTGTTAGTTCTCTTTATTATAGTTTATTTTATCTTTTATTTTACTACACGTTTAATCCGTTTGTTGTTGTTGTTGTTAATTACAGATTTAACGTCCAATACATTAAATATGATATTATGGACAGGTTGATTTCATTAAATTATTTATACTTTAAAATTGTTAAAAACACAAAATAAAAAAGTCCTCGGATATCAAAAGTTTCTTAAAACACACTTATACATTCGCTGCCGTGAGAAATAAATTCGCTATCGTGAATTATTGTATCTTTTATATAACCTTTAACTACGTGTTTGGTTTATTGTATCTTTTAACCTTTAACTACATGTTTAATCCGTTTGATTTATTATATCTTTTATATAACCTTTAACTACATGTTTAATCAGCTTGGTTTATTGTATCTTTTATATAACCTTTAATTACATGTTGATTCAGCTTGGTTTATTATAATGTTTTATATAACCTTATTAACTAGTTGTTTAATCAGCTTGGTTTATTGTATCTTTTATATAACCGTTAACTACATGTTTAATCAGTCTGGTTTATTATTGTATCTTTTATACAACCGTTAACTACATGTTTAATCGGCTTGGTTTATTGTATCTTTTATATAACCTTTAACTACATGTTTAATCAGTCTGGTTTATTGTATCTTTTATATAACCTTTAACTACATGTTTAATCAGTCTGGTTTATTGTATCTTTTATATAACCTTTAACTACATGTTTAATCAGTCTGGTTTATTGTATCTTTTATATAACCTTTAACTACATGTTTAATCAGTCTGGTTTATTATTGTATCTTTTATATAACCTTTAACTACATGTTTAATCAGTCTGGTTTATTATTGTATCTTTTATATAACCTTTAATTACATGTTGATTCAGCTTGGTTTATTATAATGTTTTATATAACCTTATTAACTAGTTGTTTAATCAGCTTGGTTTATTGTATCTTTTATATAACATTTAACTACATGTTTAATCAGTCTGGTTTATTATTGTATCTTTTATATAACCGTTAACTACATGTTTAATCAGTCTGGTTTATTATTGTATCTTTTATATAACCGTTAACTACATGTTTAATCAGTCTGGTTTATTATTGTATCTTTTGTATAACCGTTAACTACATATTTAATCAGTCTGGTTTATTATTGTATCTTTTATATAACCGTTAACTACATGTTTAATCAGTCTGGTTTATTATTGTATCTTTTATATAACCGTTAACTACATGTTTAATCAGTCTGGTTTGTTATTGTATCTTTTATATAACCGTTAACTACATGTTTAATCAGTCTGGTTTATTATTGTATCTTTTATATAACCGTTAACTACATGTTTAATCAGTCTGGTTTATTATTGTATCTTTTATATAACCGTTAACTACATGTTTAATCAGTCTGGTTTATTATTGTATCTTTTATATAACATTTAACTACATGTTTAATCAGTCTGGTTTATTATTGTATCTTTTATATAACCGTTAACTACATGTTTAATCAGTCTGGTTTATTATTGTATCTTTTATATAACCGTTAATTACTTATTACTCATTTTTCGTTTTTGACTTTTCGTTTTGATTAATATGATTTATTAAAATTACTGCATCTCGCTTTTATTTGAATAAATGATGTTGATATTTTTATTAATCCGTTTTTGTGTTTGTGAGTATGGTATTAAAAATTTATTATTACGTTCCAGTAGTATACTTTTAATATACAGCGGAGAGTCTAGGGTCCTTTTGTTCTATAAATTATAAATCTTTCTTAATTATAACAATATCGGAGTTTTCACTGCAAAATTGTGAAACGCCACAAACAATTCATATAGAACATGTTCATGATGTGTGCATGTGTTCGTGGCCAGTGTCCATATATTTATTGTAGAGTTATCACCCTTGGGTCATCAATATTTGACTGAAACAAAATGAACAGGAGTTTCACGTCCGTCCTACTTTTCTACTCTATCCGGACTGATGAGGACTCATATATATCATACAGTGAATTTGTCCTGGACAGCGACGCAACGGTCTACTCTTATTTAGCCGTGTGTTATTATTTAGAAGAGAGACAGAAAAAAGGGGAGACAGGGAGTATAGACTACTCGACCTGGAGAAAACACGAGGTTAAGCAGGCGATCCTATTAATTGTCACGTGCAAGTGGAGGAATCAAAACTACATCACTTGCCTCAATGACACATCATATGACCAAACGCGCTCGCATTATATCATTCGGTCATACAATCCACATTCTGGACAGAAGGCAGCAACATTTCCCTCATAGCACACTGTGTGGCGTATGTCCAGTAGGAGCAGAACAGTAGGACGTTAAACCCCATTTCATTTTTCTGTTCTTGCCCGAAAAGTACGCCCTATGTCGAATTTCAACTGCCCATGGATCTTTAATAAGTACACCAGACCTCGTTTTTTTTCCATCCTATCCGAACGACGATACGCTGTCCATTGTCAGACTCTTCGTCCTGCAACACTGACAGGGGGAAAGTAAGGCTAAAATCCCGATAAATATAGCACAAAACAATCAATATGTGGGAATATAAAACAAAAAATATCACAGACGTTTTAAAATTACAAAATATATATTTATATGCATTTAAATATCAACAATATAAAACTCATGCTTCCTTTATTCAGTAGTTATATTTTTTTTAATTAATTCTCTGGGTATTTACGTATAGTTCTATTTTGTAAAGGTTATATAGTCAAAGTGATCAAATATGATTCGCTTTTCATTATTTGTTTGTTACTTTATTTTTATTGTCAGCCGTTATGTAAAGCTACTTATCCATGCATTTAAAAAAACACTCAGATTATCACATCAATCATGCTGACCTTAGGTATGACTTTTTCAAAAAGAGTGTAATCGACCACTTATCGTGTAAATAGATATATAGTCTTCATTGTGCTTCCATAGAAAATAGAAAAAACTCTAATGTGGCGGATCCGGCATTCTAAAGATAAGATAAAAAGAGAGAGAGAGAAATGGGGTTTAACGTCCACTCAACACAAACTAGGTCATTTCGGGACTAACATATGGTTAATTTTATTTCATTAATTCGCTTGCGCGTAGGGGTCTTTAGCAGTGGGAGGAAACCGGAGGACCCGGAGAAAACCCACGAGGTTGGACAGGCGACCCTACTCCTTGTCACGTACAACCGGGGATTCGAAACCACGCCAGTTGACTCAATGACAGACTTTATGATACAGCGCGCGCACGCTAACCATTCAGCCATCCAACCCCCCAGATAAGATAAGATGAGAACAGTGACAGTTTGTTTAAAACATTTTAACCATCACAATATTAATATTTTATCAAATAATATACGAATAATAAGGGGCGCAACCTAGACACAACGATTTCATGTGCAATTACGCTTGAACATATATCTACAAAATTGTTCGTTCGTTCCTAGAGGGAGGGTTGGATGGCCGAATGGTTAGGACGTGCGAGCTGTATCATACGGTCTGTCATTGAGTCAACTGGTGGGGTTTCGATTCCTCGGTTGTACGTGACAAGGAGTAGGGTCGCCTGGGTATTTCTCCGGGTCCTCTGGATTCCTCCAACTGCTATAAAAGACCCCTACGCGCAAGTGAATTATTGAAATAAAATTAAAACCATATGTTAGTCCCGAAATGACCTAGTTTGTGTCGAGTGGACGTTAAACTCCATTTCTATCTCCCTCTCTCTCTCTCTCTCTCTCGTTTCTAGAGTTTTACGTCCACTTCCACCTAAGTTGATATCGTAGACAAATGTTCCCTAAGAAACTTACTGGAGGAAGCCACGAGGAATAGGCTTGGTCAAGTTTAATTTTGAGACTTTGCAAGGGAATGCCCAAAATAAATCTCATCGAATACAAAACTGAAGTAAAAGTAATGTTTATAGATAATGACTAACTATTTGACATCGATCTGTGCCTGCTTTGTAATCCGCCCAAATCATAATAACGTATTTCTATAACATACCCATAACCACAATGAATTATATTGAACACTTATATTCGGTTATGGTTTAAATATATAATAGCATACCTAGACCCTAAGAACGTTTATTAACACAATGTCTGTAAAGCATAAGGAATATATTCATTATTTGGGAAACGATTTGATTTTAAATACGAAAAGAAGGTTGATTATGTATCAAATTATCTTGTGCATCGTTCTTTTATTCTGTAATGGTAAGTATACATCTCTTAAATATGCGTTGAGTATGGTTTTAATGAAGAGCTGACCGTTCTTGCTGTAATAGTTCAAAAATAATCAATGGAATAATGTCATTCAAATTACTTTATTCAGAGTCAAGTTATCACTGCTCGAGGTTTTCAACAGATGTGGCACAGATTGTCTTACCAACGGTATTTGCTATTCGAGACTTGGCGTCTCTTCGACATTTTAAATTAAATCACTATATGGCCTCAGCGTTCTAATCTACTTAAAATCGGGGTCACCCAATGTCCTCGAGAGTTGGTTATAAACCTGTCATGTGATTAAAGGTCTAACTAATAATTTAAATGATATTTGAAGCCAAAATAAAGATATCCAATAGGCAAATTGAGTTATTGCATAATGAATCTACCATATGGTTGTGCAGAAGTAAACATATTTCAAGAGTCCCGGGGAAGAACGATCTAAGTCACTTTTTCAACGAACCCCAGTTAATGGCGCCATGTGGTAGCAAATTGTATAAACTTTCTGTGGAACAATCAATTTCGGGTAAAAACGATCGGAGTCACATCTAACCAAGGCCCTTCTGAAATGGCTTCCCTGACAAATACAAGTCCATCACGTATTTAGTTGACCTTAATTTGGCTGAAAAGTGGAAGTCAGTTGTTTTACTGGTGATTCGCATTAAACATCATTTTAAAGTTGTAATTAAACCCATTCGTTGTTCTGTTCTGTGACTTAGATGGTTCTTCTCCTGGACTCTTCATTTGTAAACACATCGTTACTAACAGCCTAATTACGAATTTTGTAATCAGTATACATGTATAAAAAGAAATGATGACGATGGCCATATTGGTAAAACATGCGGTAAACAGTTTTGGTTGAAGGTTTAGACCAATTTAGGGACTTACTGATTCGATCTCCGGGTCCAGTTTTATTAATACACAATGTTTAATTTGTGAAGAGTTTTGCAGTAACTATAATTATATACGTTATTATACCCATTATGTCGATGATTATATTAACAATCCGAAGGGGTTATTATTTTGGCTAATTTCGACAGGTATATTTAACAAAAGGTATAACATTGATATGATAATACTTGTGTAGCCATATACTATGATATATCGTTGGTAGTGATGAGAGTATTGCCTTTTTCGGTGATAGTATCGAATTAAAGGTTTACACTAATTTAGACTCTTATTATAAGCACGATTCTTCTTCCGCCCTTGAAGGTCGGGCGGCCGAATGGTTTGCGCGTGCGCGCTGTATCACAAGGTCTATCATTGAGTTAACTGGCTTGGTTTTGATTCCCCGGTTGTACGCGACAAGGAATAGGATCGCCTGTTCAACTTGTGTTTTTTTCCGAATACCCCGGTTTCCTCTCACTGCTAAAGGCGCAAACAAATTATTGAAATAAAATTGATCCATATGTTAGTTCCGAATTGAGCTAGTTTGTGTCGAGTGGACGTTAAACTCATGTATCTCTTCCTCTCTCTCTCTCTCTCTCTCTCTCTCGTCCGCCCGGAGTAAGATAGTATTCTGATTCTGCCATCTTATATTATGGATATGACGCATCAGGTAATGTTGATAGTTTAGATGAAGAAAAGTCTACATGTTATATATGAACAGGTGGGTATTTAGCTCCTGAAAATACATTTATGTAAGATCGTGATAAAGAGCCGGTAGTTCTTGCTATAATAGTTTCAAAATAGATAACGCAAATTGAATATATTGAAAATTCGAATCATATTTCTTTATTCTGGGCTAAGTTATCTCTGTCTGAAGTTTTCACAAGATGTGGCATAGATTGATTTTATCGAACAGCGGTAATTGTTATTCGATATTGTTATTTTTTTTAAAACGTTTACATCTCCGATATCCCATAGGCTAGACAGTTAAATATAGGCCTGTCATGTGAATAAATGCCTAAATAATAATTTATATAACAGAGACCTGCAATCGGCAGATTTAGCTCTAACATAATGCATTGTTAATATTTCGTTTGTCGATATATTTCAGATTGTTATAGTTTTCTGGTTTGTGAGAGATATGGTCATAATATTGCAATAAGTGAGAGTGAACCTATCACGTGGTCTATGATTTAAATTGTACTGACACGTCTGGTTCGAACCTCCAGTATACTATTAGATCTTGCAACAAATTCACTCATTTCATAATAGGCACAGATGGTATGATGAAACTGAATAAACAATTAGATGCAGATGGTCTAACACGGACAAATCACGTAAGAATTAAAGTCAACATTTTAAATGTTTGTTTTATTTTCGAACATAAGTTGGTTTTTATCTACGGTGGGTGATGAACTGATTTACTAGCTCTTAGGTACATCAATCCAGAATCACCTTCATGTACAGTATGCCACAGGCTTAAACAACCTATCCCCCTCATATATCTATGCTCCTTGAAGCTTATGGTCTAAAACACAAAAACCCCTTCAACGGAT